GGCTGCTAAGCTGGAGTTTTCTTTATTGTGAAAATATCGCAGGTACGATCGATGCCACGATGAGCCGACGTGATAGACGATTTTGCGTACGGTACAAATAAGGAAAAAGGCATCCTCGTGAAAGGCCGGAGTTCACCGGAGATCTCGCGCGCATCTATTGGCGCCCATCTCCCGGCACCTCTCCCATCGCGAAAACGCGTGGTTAACGATTCTCAGAGCGTGACGTTAAATTCGTAAGGTAGTTAAGATTCCTGAGATTCCCAAGATGTATCATAAGCTAAAGTTTGAGGTGGAGTACCTGACGGATGAACATCTCACGGGATTTGAGGGTTACAAGGTGAGCGTCTGATTTTGAATACATTTTTCATGCGTACAGATTATTGATTTGAAGAAATTATGAATATATATGAATATATCACGTTTTATAATATACATGCAATTACAACATGTGTATACATTAATTCATAAAATTTTATTGAAATAATTGAAATAATATTTTATGCTCTCAATGTTTAGCTGTATTGCTCATTTTGAAAATATTATGATTTCAGTATAGCTCCTTGGACACAAGTCCCCTGAGTGTGTATGTTATGCATCCCTTTTGGAACAAAGTAGTACAGGTATTCTCTACTTCAGTGATGGAACAATTGTTATGTTAATAAGATTCTTTTTAATCCATGTATTTTGTAGAGCTGCAGTAGAACAAAATGGTTTCTTTATATAGTATTTTTATTATAAAATAATCATTCCATCTTGTGTTTTAGTATTGCCCAAAGTGGATTGCTCCAAATGTACTAACTTTCTCTGGATTCCTTTTTACCGTGCTAAACTTTATGCTATTTGCGATTTATGACTACTACTTCTATGCATCCAGCGACGACAAGCCGGAATACCCTCCAATATCACGATGGGTCTTTGCCATAGCTGCTTTTAACATTTTTATGGCATACACGCTTGGTACGTGCATTTGGTTGCTTGATATATAATTTTAATATTAATGTAGGAATTAAGGGTGTAAAAGTATACATATATCAATTATAAGTTGAATATCGCGTATGTTTTAAGAATAATTATACATGTTTGTTAAATAATGTTAATCATCTATGTCATTTTGGTCATGTTTCTAGACATTTTTTATTTTGATATATTGAGTATACATGTATATGCATACTTCACACACACACACACACACACACACACACACACACAAACTATCTCAAAATAACATAGCAAGAGTTCTTGGAAAAATAAATAAAGTTGCAGAGTTGGCAATGTTACCTCATAAAAATAAAACTCATTACCGTTACCATTTTTTTTCCTAAAAAGTAACTCGTTATCGTTACTCATTATTGATTTGCAAAAGTAACTCGTTATTGTTACGTCACTCAAAACGAGTCGTTCCTTTTTCGTTACTTTTTTTCTTGATACTAATAGAATATTATATAGCGTTTTTCATTGCCAGAAGTTGTGCGCACTCAATGCATATAAAAACGTTGTACACAACTTTAATCTAAATGTAAAAATGAGATATTTGAAAGGATAAAATGCCTAAAGTATATTTTATCAAATAACATAATAAAATGTATTGAGAATTTCACAATTTAACTCGTTTCTATATTTTTATTAACCAAACATCTTTACGTCGATTGTACAGTGGCTTTAAAGTGCACTAAATGCATATTAGTTCTGCTAATAAAAAACTATTATATACAGATTCTTGCGATAACTATAAAAAAGATGGAAGAATTCTAATAGACAAAAAAACTAAAAGACTAATAAATATGTATATGTATATACGCTCTAGTTATTAAAACTTTTACGCAAATAGAAACAAAGTAACGATAAAAGTAACTAGTGAAATCGTTATCATTATCCCAAAAATTTAACTGCGTTACCATGAATATTATTCAAAAGAAAATATAATGTCGTTACTCAAACGTTACCAATAAAAGTAACTTGTAACGACGGTTACAAATAATGCGTTACTTGCCAACCCTAAGTTGTTTATAAATTTTTATTTTGAGCAAGTTTTTGGAATACAGATGTTTATATGTTAATTACAGACTTCACTTATGAGTAATGAATCGGTTTTTAGATAATATTGTTGATAAGTAGATAGCTTATAAACGTAGTCTGTAATTAATTTATTATCTTAAAAATGATTGTTAAAAATTTACAATTAATGTTTTTACATTAATTTAATTTTTCGAGAATTTTCTTGCTATATAGTAGTTTGAGTGAATTTCGGGATATTTTGTGTGTGTGTGTGTGTGTGTAATAATTAAGATAATATTTTCATAAATTATGAAAAATCTATCTTTTGAATAGGTACATGAACTTACAAAGTAGAATAATAAATTTAAATATTAAGCAATAAATGAGAAAATGATAAACATAATTTTATCGAGAAAAATATGTATATAAATGTTATTGTGGTACAATTTTTTGACTACAACAATAATCTAATTTTGTTTATAACCATTATATTACAGATGGAATAGATGGTAAACAAGCAAGACGCACACAAACGTCCGGTCCCTTAGGGGAACTATTTGATCATGGTTTAGATAGTTGGACTGCCATGTTGATCACAGTGTGTATGTATTCAGTCTTCGGCAGAACAGATCACAGCGTCTCGCCGCTACGAATGTACTTTATACTGTGGAATGTATTCATTAATTTCTACCTAAGTCATTGGGAGAAATATAACACAGGTGTACTGTTTCTTCCCTGGGGATACGATGCTTCCATGCTGGTAAGTTTGCTCAGAAATATGATTTTTAATGTAAAATAATATTTTTTCATATTACTAATTGACTTTCGTTATTTCATCAATGCCAATCATTCTGCCAATTTACATCAACCTTTTATTGATTTTATAGGCAACCGTTATTGTATTTACACTTACCAGCATAGGTGGACACGAAGCCTGGAAATTTGAATTACCAGGTGGTATATCGGCGGGAATGATGTTTGAAATGTTATTTTATGTTAGTGCGCTTGTATCCAACTTACCAGTCGTTATTTGGAATATATACAAGTGAGTGTCATTTTATTGTTGTAATAAATAATACATTTTATCGTTGTAATAAATAATACATTTTTAAAAATTATTGTTACTAAAATATTTGTTGGATAAAAATGAAATGGATCTGAAATTTTTTTTTGTTTAATGATAATAAATATTGATAAAGTATTCTATATTTAATTATCTAATTCTCTCTTATATATTTTTTTAAAAAGCTCATTTTATTTAAAACAAAGTTTGAATAAAAAGCTTTACATTAACATAATTATCTTTTGAATTATCTTGTAGATCATACAGAGATAAGACTGGAAAAATGCGGACGTTTCCAGAGGCTATAAGGCCTTTAGTGCCTTTAGTTTTATTCTTTATAATTTCTACATTCTGGATAATGCACTCTCCAAACAACATTCTAGAAAAAGATCCGAGAATAATATACTTTGCTATCGGCACTATTTTTTCTAATATATGCGTAAGAAATGCATAGATATATTTAACTTAGTAATTTTTTTGTTTCTCATTCATTATATTCATGTGAACAATGTTTATCTTGTAGTGTCGATTGATCGTATCACAAATGAGTAATACTAGATGTGAGATACTACCGTGGTTACTATTGCCAATCGCAGTGGCCGCTGTTTTTTCATTTATCTTGCCAAGCATAGATTTGGAAATTATGTATTTAGTTTCTGTAGTGGCCTTAGTGGCACATATTCATTATGGCACTTGTGTGGTAAGTTTAATGACGTGTTACGATTATAATCATATAATATTAATGTATTTTCAATTATATATATTTAGAGATCTGCTATTAATGATAATTATTACTTATATTTTTATAACTTATATGACATTCTTTCTGTTATAATCGATTTTGTACTTACAGGTACGTCAAATGTGCCGGCATTTCCGTATTCAGACTTTCTCCATAAAAGATCATTCTGAATGACTACTTGCCGACGATGCATGCTAAGAACGAAGAGACAAAGAAAAAGTTGATAAAAACTGACACGGAAAAGCAAGCAGGGAGAAGAGATCTGACACACACATACACGAACTTTTCTTAGGATACGAGGCATTAACATTTATGACAAAATATCTTTCGAACAGCTAAGAAAGGGAAATTATTAAATCACGTTCTTTATGAGAACGTGCGCCATTCATGCGAAATACAATAGTAATGCTGCTCGCAGAGATTTGATAGCGCCATTTTATTCTACATATCTAAAAAAAAAAAAAAAAGAATAGTGTATCTGCTAGATATTGCCTATTTATTTCTATACAATAACAAAATTGTCCGAAATGTGTTTGACTATTTACTGTGATATATTTATCCTTATCACCGCTTTATCTCCAAGAGCAGCGGTTCGTCCATAAACGTTCTCTCCATCATGATATTCTGCTGGGCTTACATATAATGTGTGTACAAATACTTTTTCTTTGAATGCTGCCGAATTCATTGAGCAGTGAACTAAAAATGCACCTCTTCGTTTTCGACATGTATCGTCCCTCGGACGTTATTAATCAATGACTAATAATATTGTATCTAGCTGTTTTTTTCTTTCTCTTTTTTATTAATGTTTGGAAAATTATTTAAATTATTGGTAATATATATATTTTTTTTTATTGTAAAACATCGTGTGTAATATTTTAAGATGCATTTAGTAAAAGATAATGTGTACGTTAAGTAAGAAAGAATCGAGTGCGTTATTGTTTATGTATCGAGTGTACATTTACGTTATATAAAATATGTGTACAAATTATTATATGATTATCTTGTATAATTTTCATAAATTGCAATGTAAAATGCAGCTAGCTAGTTTCTCTCTTTTCTGTTTGTTTCACAGATCGCAATTGTAGATAGATCACAAAGTAATATTTTCCAAATGTATGTAAAATAAAATTAACATGTATCGAAAGAAGAAATTTAGATGGTAATAGTGAAAATGTCAGTTTCTTTTCAATGTGGATTTAATATATTTCAAGCTTATATATAAACTTTGTTGGACTATATACATACGTATTATAATATATTACAATGTAATATTGCAAGATACCGAAGAATATTACGGAATAAACAATATTTTTACAAATGAAGCCGTGTGCTGTATCTATCACTATCTTGAGTTTAGGAAATCAATCTTTATTTTGGCACGTTCCTCCGGAAGTGGCAGGTATGGTTTGATATCTTTCAATTTGCGTTCATGTTGCACAGAAGCCTGAAAAGAAAATAATTCTATTGAAGATGTAATTTTGCGGACACGGAACATTTTCTAGCAAGATATAAATGACAAGGTGTTTTTCATTTAATACCACAAGTGTTCTACCCCTGGTTACTCTTGGTTATTGAATGCCAAGGAAGATAGAAATGATGTTTGTATCAACTTGTATCACTATTCTCTTGTAAATGAAAATCACCCACAGAATCCTTGCATCCTTATTTAACATTAACAAACAATAAGAATGAAATGATGCACTGCATCAATTGTCTTTTGCTAAAAAACGTGAATTTGTATTTTCATGAATCGCAGGAGGAAAATTACCCAGAAATCTTTACAATTCTTGTAATTGATGAAATATGGCTGGCATGTCTCCCGAGGTTTATCAGAATTGAGGCATTTTAGGGACATGAGATGCTCCTAGAAGTTGAGAAAAATGCAACGTGTTAACAAAACAGCCACGCTGTGGTTTTTTTAGCCAACGGTATTTTCTTTTATCTACATTTTCTTATGCTAGTTATGCTTTTTCTCCAGCTTTTCTCGATACATAAGCATACACTTGTATCGCTGTAAAAAGGAATACCGAAAATGTATTCATGCGACGTTCGGTAATTATAAAACAATAAATTATTTAGATACCTTGTAACAAGGATTGTCCGTTTCTTGATTACGTCGTAATGTGTGCCTACTTGTGATATCTCTTCGTTCTGTAACAACATTTAAATCTTTTCCTGTATTCATTTCACCGACAGAAAAGATGCCACGAGAAAAGAGTTTACATATAAATAAATACAATTTCTTCCGAAAGTCAGTGGAAATGTAGCTGCACCATATTACACTTTTCGCATTCAAGATGAAATAGTTACAATTATAAGACGAGAAGCACAGACTCTTGCATAACGCATAACACATAATGCATAAGAAAATATACCAATCAAAGTCCTTTATTTCCTTCCTTTCTATGAAACAAAGGACTCTGATTGGTTGATTTTCTTATGCCTCATGTTTTATGCGTTATGTAAAAGTCTGTGCTCCCCGCTTAAATGCTAAGAAAAAGAATGAGAACGAAAAAGTGCGGAAAGTTCAGCTGTAAACAGCTGTAAATACCTGTAAAGTGTAAACAAAATAGCTGTAAATAATAGATTTGAAGAGAATCATGAGAATTTTATTATTCCTTTCTTGACAACAATATAAAACAAACGGTTAGTTTCAGTGTCAATGAAACTCAGTTGAAATTTTTATACTTTTTCACGTTTCTGTCACGATGGTGACAAGTCCACATCACGCACGTGGTCGCACGTGCGATGGTTTTGAGGTTAGGTTGACATTTAACCGATAGTCCCGAGTTTCAAGGAAATCGCGGGATACATTTGTTAATCGCGCGAATGAAATAAAAAGCTGAGAAAAAACTTTTCTTTTCTCTCGAGATGGAAGTTAGCGTGGATGACGTGGTGATGCCGGGCGATAGGTTAACGAACATCACGTCATTCAAAAAGGAAAACAAAAATGAGAAGGAGATCGTGATTTTGGGCCCTGGACTGCGTCGTGAGGATGATGCCGTTCTCATTTGCAAAGCGGGTGTTCTGAGGAAACGCGAACCGGCCGTTTACTATGTGGATAGCTATCAAAAACGGTACAGAATATCATTTTTAGGAGAATAAAATGATGTCGACTGTGTTTCTTAAAAGGAAAGCAGTCTATGTCATCTGCTTGCCATTTAGTGATATAAATCAACACAAATGTTATTCTATCTTTCTTTCACTTAAGTCTTGACATTGAGCAAGATAGAACTTGTGCTGATTTGTATCAAATGAAAAACACTCTTATTTTCTTGCTGAAAAGCATCTTATAACACAGTTATACTGATGCTGAGTCTATAAGATCCATTTAATTTATATTAATTAAAAGACACTAATTTTAAAAAACCAAAATAATATAACTTGTATAAAAGGAGAATGAATATTAAATACATTTTAATAAGAATAATCAAAACTTGCTGTAACAAAGAAAATTGAATATTTTTGATAAAGAGATTTAGAATTGAGTGGGTACAATAGGTGAACTATCAGTTTCAGAGGATTAATATGAGTTCATAAAATATATTAATTTTCTTTTTCCATTAAACACGCATATAATTTGATCCAGCATCTTCAACAAAAGTAGAACTGATCTGAGCTTCAATTAACTTAATTATTAAACAATAAATGAAAACATAGGCAATTAAGAATTTAAATTCGCAGTAATTGGAGCGATTATATCAACATATATTTATCAAATATCGAACGTTTCAGCTTAATTCAAGCCATCTTCAGTAGTAAATAATAATATAATTTTTTGATGAATAATTCCAAACATCTTGATAGTCTCGTATAATAAAACTTTCTTAATATAATTCAAATAGTCGCAAATCAAAGTAATCGAGTGCAGCAAAAGAGAGCTGTTAGACTAACAGCTAAATGATGGTTACATACTTCAGATTTGGTAATCTGGGAGACTCCTTATACTTATATTTTACTAGACTGCTGAAGATTTGAAGGTTTGAATTAAGCCGAATGTTCGGTATTTGTTATATATATGTAGTACTGAGAAATATATATTGATATCACTCTAATTACTGCGAATTTAGGCTCTTAATTGCCCGTGTTTTCATTTAATTTTTATTTCAAGAGCCCAACTTTAATTATTCTTTGTTAACTTAATTCTTTTTTTGTTTATCCATTTCGAATTGTTCTTTATTTTACACAGATACATTCCCAGTCGAGGCGAGAATGTCGTTGGTATAGTGACACAAAAAAGCGGTGACATTTATAAAGTGGATATCGGAGGCAGCGAACAGGCGACACTATCTTATTTGGCCTTTGAGGGAGCCACGAAGAAAAACCGACCTGATGTACAAATCGGCGATTTGGTGTACGGCAAATTGCTGGTCGCCAGCAAGGATATGGAGCCGGAATTGGTATGCGTGGACTCTCATGGCAAGGAAAATGAACTCGGTATGCTCAGCTCAGATGGCATGATGTTCATCTGCTCGCTGAGCCTCGTAAGGAAATTACTCAATCCGGAGTGTCCGTTGTTCAGGCTACTTGGAAGGAATCAGGCGTATGAACTTGCCGCAGGGATGAATGGCAGGATATGGATCAAGGCGCGATCGGTTCAAGAGACAATAGCCGTGGCAAATGCTATTCTAGCGGCGGAGTTCACAGTATCTAGTGAAATGCAAAAACTCTGTTCCAAAATCGAGAAAATATTATTTCTTGCGGCTTAACGTTAGTGGACTTTGAGGAAATTTTATTTGGATGAATTATTAATGCAAAAGATTAGCATCGAAGATTCGGTACTTTTTTTTAAATAAAACTTAGAAATTAGAATAATGCCTTAAATGAACTCAAATGCATTTTAAAGCCAGTCCCACCTTGGCTTGTAAAATAATGACTACTTGCTGTTATCAATGACAGTTACATTTATTGTATAATATTTGCAATAAATTCTGTAAATAAATCTGGAAGAGTTTTCTTAATTGATATTTTATGTGTAGGAATAGTGTAGAGTGAGACAACCATTGTGACAACCTGACGTGAATTAAAACTATAGGTACAATTATCACTAAAAGATGTTATCGTATGAATATACATACAGCGGAAGCAATGAGCATAGTACATGATTGTACAAGGTATTAGCGTGAAACAATATAATCAATATAATTTAATGTTTAGTTTAGAAGAAAAGAAGACTCGCTTCGTAGGAAATTCAAAGTTTAATTTCGCTTTAACAAAAGAAATTTGATGACATTCGGATATTACACATAGGTATCGTATTACACTAGTGATTGCAGACAGTATCGATATAAAGATACGGAGTGCAGAACGCTGCTAATTATGATAATTTTCATTACGTCTCGCTGATATGTGCCTAGTGTAATGCTCTTTTCGGCTTACTCGAGCCGTGCGCGACTATATACGATGTTATTTGCCGTAACAGTCTAGAACAGTGACGATATTTTTGCACTCAAGCACAACCATTACTTTCATCTTACAAAATATTACTCGGAAAGCAATATCTAATCCAGTGAATATATTGTTACGCAAAATTTCCATTTAATCATCAAAGATTGCATAGTATCTTTGTATTTAGTGGAATGTATTCACTGCCATCGCTTTTCAACTAAGCGTATACATGTAAGAAAATCATTGGCAAAACAATCTCAAAAACATTACTCCTGCTGTTAATAAAGAGAAAGTTAATGAAATAAAATTAATACTATCTTCTTTTTATCGCTAAGTATATGTCATGTTTTACGAAATTAATACTATCTTTTTTTTAAGTCTGAATATATATCAAGTTTTATAAAATTATTTTGAGACATCAAAAAGCCCACATGATTTTCTAATTATTGACATCACATAGAGAATGTTTTTGCGCCAATTCAAACAATAACAACTTATCGCTAGATGCACATATGCTACTGTTGACTAAGATTTTGACAGTGAAGTAATATATAATACAATTATAATATCAATTAAAAAGAAAGAAAAACAATAAGTATACATAAACGCAACAGAGTATATCTATGCAAAAAAAAACGATAAAAGACCTAGCAAACAAAAACAATAAGTATTGATAACAGAAGTATATTATTAAAGCTCAACTATTCTTTTTTTGGTCATTTATGGCCCTTACTTCATCTCACAGCGCCGTACTAAAATAAAATTCTACACACATCTAAATGCTACAAAAGAGTACACCGTGACATTTTTCAGGATCGGATTTTTCTTCAGTATCTACATCACAGATCTAAAAAATTCAACAGATCTTCACAAAAAAGCAAACAATTTACATTCTTTTTAGAAAAAAGAAAATATAAGATAAAACAAATGTACAGCAAAAGCTAAGGGATTAAGATTATAACTCAAAAGCTGCATCTCTGACTAGTTAAAATTTTATATCGAATTATAATTTTAGAAAATTTATATTTACAGAATTACTATAATTATTCATTATTAATTACTAATATTGCACATAATTACGAGTACAATTTTTTCTAACATCTCGGAATGTGTCCCTAAAATCCGATCCCGAATACAATTTATTATATACTAATAATAAATTATTGATAACCGAGTCGAATTATGCATTTACGACATAAATAATTTGCGATATTATCTGTTGTAATACACCTTTTGTTTCTTCACTGTTGTTTTCACAATGTTTTTACGAATGCTACTATGCCAGCGATATGCGGTAAATGTAAGTTTCACGAAAAGAAATAAAAAAAGTTTGCTAGTTACACAACATCCAGGAAAACATCCAGTGTCTGACAGTAATTATCTACTATGAAACTATCGGTAGATTCTGTCACATCATGGAAGAAGCCGTAGCGTTTTCTCTCTTTTTTTTTCTGTAGAAACGACACACGTATGTTCATCGCACATCGGGATGTAATTAGGCAGGCAAATATGTATGTTGGGGACGATACATGGTGGCACTAGCAACCATAAACATACTAATCTATTGGCATTGTGCTTCGCTTAATATATACGTTTCATCAAAGAGTGCATTAATCATCGAGGTATATCGGGAATAATTATGCAGGATATAGGATAACGATTGTGCACGCACTAACGCGACAGTGCTGTTACATAAGCGATGTAACAAGAGCCGATGAAAACAAACTTTAGAGAAGCGGAAATAACTATTCGAAAGAGGATGAATATATTGATGCAATATACTTAATTAAAGAGAATAAAAAGAAACAAAATTAAATATATAAGGCATCGACGAAAGAAATTACATTGCAGAACGTGAAATAACGATCCGAAAAAAAGATCTCGAACTAATTTCATTTAGTATTAAAGAAATTTTTTAAATTTTTTAGAAAATAAACGTTTTCAGAGTCTTATGTGATATTAAAAAGAATAAATTTAATGATATATAAAATCTTAAAAGATACTACTAAAAAAAAATCAAAAATAAAAACTAAAAGTTATTTGTGAGAAATTATTCTCTCAAGATTGTCCTTTTTCGATGCCTTATTTTTAAAAATTACAAACATATTGTGAAAATTGCGCCTATAGGGATTACTACAATAGCACATAGATTATTATGATGTTTATGATATGAATATAAAATATCTGCCATTATTACTGTAGGTATACATTTACATTCGCGATTATATATAATCTCGTACATCATGAAATATTTTTTCCTCTACATTATGATTCCTATCATGATTCATTTTTTTTGTTCACATTTATCTGTTATCGGCGATTTTCTTATACAATCCTAATAGTAGAAAGGAATAGAAAATATATTTGCTATGCAACTATATATAAAGCGCGGTTGGTGTATGTCAATTCTTCATTCGTGTCAGAATGCCATTAACGTTTCTCGCTTATTATAGTGATGAAATTTGCAGCGGACGCGTTTTCTATATAAAAAAAATAATTTCCATTAGACAAATATGTTTTACATGCGCGTAGATATGCTATTCCCTCCACACAGTACAATGGCAGAAATTCCATGACGCATGATTTTTTTTTTCAAGTTTGTTATCGCAATCTTTATATCAGCTTAGTAGTTAGTTATAAGAATAATTTGTGTTGGATTATTAACGCACGTTTCATCTTTGAGATAAAACGGCTTTCTTTAGCAATTTTTGCTATAGGCATTAGGTATATTTAATATTATATATTTGATAAAAAGCAAATGGTTACGCCTAAAACTTCTAATGGAAATCTGAAGAGTCGTATTAATCGAAAAATTGGATAGCTTTATATGCGCTTTGCAAATCATAACAAACTAATAAGAATCAATTATATAATTATAGAAAATAATAATCCTATAATTATATTTATAAATTATAATTATTATATATAATTCAGAAAAAAGTCAAATTTATAATCATGTAAAAAATTTACATTATCATAATTTTTGGTAATTTAACGTTACATCATTCTTATATATATAGCGTTTTGAAAAATAAAAATAATACGACTCTTCTGTGGTAAATTAAAGAGGGATGCACTATACAAGTAACTTTCGTGAGCGAGATTTGTCGATCAGCAAAGCAAGACGCAGTATCACGTCATAGTATAGAATCATCGTCTATCTCGACATATAGATAAATATTATCATCAGGTTTCAGCATAATCGTAATGTATATAAAAAATTGTCTTTACTTATACCTATAAAATAGCATGATGTTTCGATTATATAAATATATTATATATGTATATATATATGTGTGTGTATACATATACATACACGTATTTCCGTATCATTATCATAATTATTATTGTATTATTTTCTTATATATCTATATACCATTCACAACACAGAGTGCATAGTACGAAGCTGAATGTCGATCCGCTTACTCTTATATCGCTATTCTTTTATACACATAAATATGTATATTAAAGAATGTGTTAAAAGAAGAAGCAAATCCAAAGCCTCAGTGTAACAACGCACAACCAATTTTTATACAACCTGCGTGCATTAAAGTATCATATCACGTTACAGTTGACTTGAAACTTATATGTGTGCCATTATATTTTGAGTAAATTTAATAAATTTAATTTATGAAACATTACGTCTCTCGATCGTCGAGAGATATAAAGAAGAGGAATATGTTTAAATTATTATTTAGAATAATTTTACAAATTATATACAAATTGTTTAACAAATACTTTAGGAGATAAAGTGTTGTGTTTTCCCTAGTAAAAAACGACCAGCGGTTAATTATAGCAACAGGAGAAAATATAACAGATGTAAAGGAACAATTCATCGAAATCGATTGCTGCTCCTACATCAAACATTCTTTCTCATTAGCAGGAATCAAACGTCCATCCGTTAATTATCGCATCGAACGTTAACATTGAAATCTTGTGCACACGCACGAAACAGTGTCCCGAGAGTATTGCAGCATGTCCAGTTGCTCAATTATAATAGAGATTCATTCACGTCTAGTACGACAGCGTTATTCAAAATATGTAATGTGTTTTATCTCCATCTTATTTAAATGTATAATTAAGTGCTAGTGATTATTAAAATCTTATTATTGCACGCGATGCAAAATGCACGTTAATCTTCGCGCGTTATAGGCTGCTGTACCAGGCGACCCATTTCTTTATTGCCTCATTTTCCGACGGTGTTAATAAAAGATACAAGACTTCTTTCTCAACTAGAAAACGACATCGGAATATCGTCGGAAAATGATGCTATTGAAGTGGAACGTCACTTATCTTTTCGTACGGTTTATTATATCTATTGATAGTTGTGCTTTGCAGAGTTATCCGTCTGTCTTTCTTTTCCTTAGTCACTGTTTGGGAAAATTTGATTTTTGCGAAACGACGTGCGAGTCGTAGACTGCATAGACATAGTTGTGGTAGTATTAAAGGTGGTGCAAAAGTGTGCTAAAGCAATATTGCGCATCCCTCGAGCAGTCACATGCAGATATGAAAAATATTACGGACAAAAATCTAATATATATAAAAACAATAGTCCATATATATTATATACTATTAGAATTAAAATAATATTCTTGTGTCTATACCCTATTGAATCCTATTGAATTCTCGAGATTTTTCCACGAAGCACACATAACGAGCAGCAGCATACTAACAAAGACACAAAGAGTGAGAGTATCTAAACGTAAATTTATTAAAAAAAAAAAAGACTTTCGCAGATATTCCTAGGAAGGATCTTTCAACGACTTGTGCACACCTTAAAAACGGCAGTAAGTTCGTCATACTGTATATATGTAAATATATATGTACGATCCGATTGCTTAAATGATAAATGAGCATGTTAAAACAATCCTAATACTCGCATGCCATTCGCGCACATTGAGTTACTTTTTCAAAAAGATAAACAAGTGCAAAATACATCTTTCTCTTTTTTGAATATCGTTCGATCATCACGTGATTCTTTGAATTCTTTTAAATTATACTCTTAAGTTACAGTCTTACTACAATTCTTTTGGCTCACAGAAGTTCTACTTCCTTTTAAGCTCGATCACTGAGCAATCATTGAGTATGTCTCATTGAGAAACTATACGCGAGAAAGACAAAGAACGTCCTGCAGTAAACATTTCTAAAAAAATCTATTACCTCCTCTCGCGAAGAAATCTGACGTGGAGTCTTACATTCTGGTTTTGAACACTTCATTGTTGCGTTGTAACATCAGAGATCGAACGAGAATCGAAAATCGAGAACTTTCATTTTCTTTTTTTTTTCTCAATTCCTTCTGTTTCGACAGTCTCGTTTGTTTCTACAAGTTTAAAATCATAACGTTTAATATCATTATATTTTGATAGATACAACTCCCACAAGTTCTCAAAAATGAGCTTTAATCTATCTATTTTACACTTTTCTCTATATTACTGCACATATAAAAATCTACTTACTTTATCCTTGAAATTGTTTGTAAATTTTCCAAGAATAATAGCAATTTTTTACAAATATCCCATTAGAATCCTTAAAAGCATTAAAGAGATATGGGTTTTTGCGAAAACCCTTTTAGAATAGAAGCCGTTCTTTCGTTCGATCTCTGATTGCAAGAGAAAAGTCGAGGAAACTAGCGAGGCACTTGAAGCTATTGATGGACTGCTGAAGTGTTCCGAAATTTCCCCGAAACGTATTCTCCTTTCGCCATAATCGCTAATAGTCTTGCGTTTTTTAGTCTATCAATTTCGTCCATCATCGTTTTTCATTTTTTCTTTATAGACAAACTCGAGGCCTTTCCGATTAAATTCAATTACTTACGTTCGAGATGACGTAGAAAATTACGTCCAATTTACTCACTTCGGAGCGGAGCAAGTCTAAGCTAAACAAAAAACGCTAAAGCCGTCTAGGTTGCACGACGCTGTTGTTGTTGAGGCGTGTAGTCGTCTGATTGTTGAAGTTCTCATCTTGTGGTACGTGCTCGGTGCGCTCGTCGAAAAATCCCGGATTCAGAATGATGTTGGGGACGAGCTCAATCACCTCCTGCTCCTCCAGCTGCGCTGCAATTTCGGAACGGAGATTAATTTTCATTAGTCTAGGCCACGGGTCTCATTAGCTTCTACCCTCTCCCTTCACCGGTTTTTCTTTGTCAGGTATTGTAAACCATTTACATCTCGAAATTTCGTGTCGGTTACCGTATTTCCAAATTATTTCTGACTGTTGATAATTTCATTAATGCAACAATAGACTATCAGATTCCGATGCCAATCAAAATGCCGTTTGCCTGACAAATGAACCTGCTACCTTTGACCTACCTACCTCGATAACGTCAAAGAACTTATCGATATTACTTAACTAGGCCATAATGCTTTCTATGACTATCGTAATATTTACTATTCATTCATCATCACTAAATTATTTTCGGCAGGCTCGTTAACATTATATATGTACAGCATAAGAAATATCTAATTGGAATAATAAGAGAAAATATTCATATTATCAAAAAGATTCAGTAACCAGACAAGTAAATCTGCGGTAAGAAAATTCTATTGAGTAGTTCGATATTTCATTCCATGTGCCATATATCGTAAAAGATAAAAATATTGTTTTATTTGTGTGCTCATTGTTAGTGTTCGGTGCGGCAATCTGAAAAGTGTCATATTTATATAATTGATGGAATGAGATTTCCATTAAATGATGTCGTATTTGTCAGTAAATGTTGAATTTAATGAGAAGTTTGCAAGGTGCTCAGAATATACAGAAACGAGATATTATAAAAATATTAATTTTTCGAAAAACATGGCTGTCGCGTAATAGAAAGAAGCCAAAGATTAAAGTCACAGATAAGTCAGCTAGCCGGCTAAGATGCTAACAGGTCCTGTTGTTTGTTAAATGAGTATGATGTATGTTCTTCAGCTATAACTTGCACGAAGGCTTCTAGAGAGAGAGAACGATTTTCTCGAGCATCGTGCTTATTAGAGAGGCCATGAATGTTATGATCATCACCAGCGGAAAGTAGTAGTAGCAGCAGTAAAGAGACAGAGTAGAAGCGGAAGCTCTTACGGTACGTTATCAGATAGGATGCTTACAGGGTGCCTTGCACTCGCGATACAGTAGGTAACAAGTACCTAAACCAAGAATCATAAGTGTGCCCATCACTATACCTACGGCTGCCACCCAGACGCGTGTATCGAAATTCTCTACGCCGGCTAAGAGGTGTCGGGCGAGCTCTGAAAATTAGTTATGTCACACAATAAAGTTACGTTAGTTTTAGCTTAGATATTGTACCAGAAATATTTTATAGAAAGATATATCTTGTAATTTCTACAGAAGATGTTATATGAAGAATGTATTTAAACTATTGTCGTTAAAATTACGAATTTATAAAAGTTTGGATTTGATATCACCTTTAACTCATATGCCTCAATATTCAAAAATAACTTTCAATAAGTAACTTTTAAATATAAGTTTAATAAATAATTACTTTAATTTAATTTAAATAACGACAACAGATTCAGCTACAGATTTATACACAGGCTCTCGAATCTTATTTTATTCCAGTGATAATCTCTATATACAAAATTTATCACAAATTTTACAAAATAATTATGTAATAATTGCAACAAAATACCCAATTCTTCTACACTGTAATGCGTGTGACCCTCGACCTCCACGATCTCTCCTTTTCCTAGCTGATTGGTTGCCCACACTCGGAACGAGTATGTAGTGTTTGGCACCAAATGATACACATCTATCTGTCTCTTTAAAGTAACAAAACAATTGTTAGTCTTAATTCAACTAATCTTTTTTTAATAAGGGATTTTTTATAAGGGATGGAATAGCTTAATAACGTTGTAAAAAAATATTTTTTATAGTCTAATAATTGAAATCGAAGCGGATACAATGTTATAGAACAATATTACGCTATGATGATTGCAGTATTATATAATGTTATCAAGTTATCGCGTCGCGTTTTTTTTCAACATCCCTATTTTTCATTACAATTTCCAGATCAAGATATTTACAGAATTTGGAGGAATGTGTGTCGGAATAATGGGCTTCCATTCTTCCGGTTCTTCACCCGCGACTGGTTTCAAACGATATTCGGCAGTGAAGTCTATGATAGGATATCCGCCGGTACCATTCACTTCCCAGAGAATATTGGCCAATATCGTGGATGGCTTGACCCATACATTGTGCAGAGCTGGGGGAGGTGCTAAAGATACAAAAGGAATATACAATAAATAAAATCTAAGGCTGTATTTTAATAGGCAGAGCAATAGCAAACTTATGTTAAAACTTAATTGAATAAGATTCTTACAGTTACTACCAAATCTAAAACGTGAATTAAAATTTTTAAATTAATCTAAAACTCATTAACTAATGATTTTTTTCGACATGTTTAACTAATGTATTTAAAAAATGCTGCTATCTGTGATCACAAATTGTCTATTATAATATTAAGGTGGCAGAGTACAACATACTTTTGACTTCCACATTGATCTTAGCTTTCACAGTATCATCCAAAGTACATGAATAATTGCCGGCATCATCCACACTGACATTTAACAGTTCCAACACACCATTCGGCTCAATTTTCAGCCGTTCTACCTGTCCATCCTTCCGTCCCTCTCTTATCCACATCACATTGGATTCCTCAGAATGTAAAAGATCACTTTCCTCGGCACAGGCTAGTTTCAGATCTTTACCCACGTCCACAGCAACATACCGCATTGGTACCACAGCCAATGCTTCCTGCCATCCTGCAAGTTCACAAATTACTCATTAACATTTGTCTTATATGGCTATTCATGATAAATCATTAACAATAACTGTTTCATTAGACTATCAATCAGGTGACCTAGGTAAACAAATCGATAAACGAATTCATTACACCTAATAGAAAAGATTGCTCTGTCAAAAACAAACATGTAGCTCAACAAATAGTGACCACAGCTGGGTACATAAAATTTTATAAGAATTATACAATTTACAGATCTCGAAATTTAATCATATCCTATTTCCTTCATTCTCCTCACATAAAATAATTGTACATTTGTTTTAAGATGTAATTAACATGAACTTTGTTGCGATGCAATAATTCAACCAGGAAGCATCTCATTCTAAAAAAGATCTACAAAAAAAATTAACGAGAAGAAAGAAGATACGACGACAACAAAGAATTGCGTCGTGATCTCGGCAGGTGGTTTCGCAAACCACATACACACTCTGCCATCACTCACGCTTGCGAATGACGCAGGCGACGATAGCAACGGAAGTGGTGCAAAAGCGACAGAAAGTAGCGAGATAGTCTCTTTACATAACTACGACCCTGAATCGTAACGATCGTCCGCGCACGTACTGTAGCCGGTTGTGGATCGCATGATTGTTGAATATAGATCACGGCATTGTTCCTCGAACGGAAGCGCATCTCTTTCTCTCTTCTTTCCTTCCTTCCTCACGCACACACGTACACACTCGTTCTCTTTCTCTCTTTCGTTAATTATCACTCGGCGCAGGTTCTTACCTGTCAGAAAGAGTATCAGCAACGGTAGCAATTTACGTTCGTCCATTCTGCCATAATAATACACCTAAATGCCTTGCGAGATCTTATTTTGTCACGGGACTCTCCTCGATCGCATCTCTCTCTCGTCTCATGTCGAATGGTCACTCTCGTTTTTTACTCCGGATTTTTTTACTCCGGGTGTACGCTGAGAGGAGTGAAGGAAGAGGAAAAGGAGGAGGAGAAGGAGGAAGCGCGTCACTCAGTGTCGATCGTTGTCGCTGTCAAACTCATCACGCCGCGTACGTCGTTTACTTTACACGCCAACCGTATGTCACCAGCGATCGCTACGCGAACACCGCCCGTCCGGCGCGCCTCCCTATTTTATTGAGTCGCGACCCTAACGCCCCCTCTAACTCACCTTCGCGCGCCCTGTCTTATCGATCACCGATGTATCTGAAGCCGGTTCTACATTAGTTGCAAACCGATCGCAAGTTTGTTGCGACAGCCAATTTGAAGCCTTTGAAATCAACGCTTTATATTAGGCGTCGGAGTGCTCTTTTTCTATAGTGCACGTGACATATGCTATAATATAAGAGCACTCCGACGCTTCAGATTTGCATTGCCGGACGCAGCTTATGATAAAAGAGAAGCCATTAAGATCGAGGCGCCCTCGTTTCAAGTTCAAGTCAATTGATGAATTTCAAAACAACAGTGATAAAAATCGACATAGTACGAATGTATTGAGTGATCAAAGTTTTATGAAAATCTCAAGATATTTCAGGAAAGTAACGGGAGTAACAAATAATCATCTTGCGGATATTGTTTCCCTCTCAAAATCGACTGTTGAACATATAATTGTACATAATTCACGTGATTGAATGACCTACATAGGAATTGGCTTTTGAGGATGAAAAGAAAAAAGAGTTTAAGTCGACAAGAATCTAGATATTGTTATAATAGTCCATTGAATGTTTTTAGGAAAAGGTAATTTCTGACCGAATTAAATTTTTATATCAAAAGATTGTTGAAGATTTATGATTTTTATCAATCAGTATGGTGAATCTCACTAGCTTGATAAATGAGAAGATGGTACACAAGGATAGGAGGTTATCTGATGGAATGCGAAAGTTGAACAAACAAAATGCAGCGGACTCTTCTAAAAGAATACCTTCACGAAATAGTGTAATTGTCATCAATGACAGCGACAGTGAAAGAGATGATAGAAATGAAGACGCCTCGCTCAGCATCGTTGAATGTAGCTCAATACCGACCTCGCCTTTTCAACAAAATAAAAAACTAAAAACTTCTACCAAGAAAAACACGAATAAATCATCCGTATCATTAGATAATGATTCATCTGTACTTTGTTTGACAGATATGCAGGAAAATTTAAATGAAGAAAGTATAGGTGAGTTAATTCTATTTTTTAATAAAATTCTGATAAAAGAATTTGAGTGTTTTCTCCAATAAAAAACATAAAAGGTACATTTTATTTATAATTATTGACACAAACGTCATTCTATCTTTGTTAGAAGTAACAAGAACAGAATGACACTTTACCATCAATGAGAGAAAAACACCTTCTGTGTAACACATTGGCCTAGTTTACACTGTATGTTTAGATGGCTACATATGATGGATCAGGCTTGTTCAATTTGGGCTCTGGAGCCAAAATACAAAACCATCGACACAAAAAATTTCAATGTGAATAAGATTTCAGAGATTGTAAAGTATTGATATGTTATCTAAGTGACACTTATCAACACTTTATAATTTTTGGCTCCAGAGCTCAAATTAGACTGTCATAAATATTCTTGTTTAACCTACAAATTAAACAAAGACATATAGGTAGAGGCCTAAATATAAGTATATTTAGTATAAACTAAGCCACTGAAATGTGATTGAATCATTTTATCTTTGTTGAACACTGACAACAAGGATATAATAAAATCACTATTACAATGCATCATCTACTTGTCTGCTTGACATAAATAATTCATATTAAAATACTTTTAATATGAATCATTAAAGTAATAAAGTTTTAAAGTAATATCTGTATATCATTTAGCACCATCACAAACAGAGGATGATGTGGTTGAGTTATGGTCATGTCTGAATTCATTAAATGTGAGTAAAGACAAGAAAAATAAAAAGCGTAAAAGAGAGAAAAATGCAAACAAAAATGAAGATGTGAGACATAATTTTGATGAGACAAATGAGATGTTTGTGATAGATAAAACACCAAATTTGAAGTATCTCAAATTTTTAAGAGATACAGATACAGATACAGATACATTCGAATATATATGGAAAAGAAAAAAAAAACAAGATCTATTTTCCAATAAAACTACAGCCAAATCGTTCGTTAAACCCAAACGAAGTACATTGAAATGTTCATATAACAGTCAAAGAAAAAGGAACCGTGAAAACTGGAATCCAAGTCCTCTAAAATTTAATATACGTTACAGTAATAAGTTCCGAAAAGAAGCAGAGGAAACTCAGAAAAATACAGATGAGAATAACGGAACAAATTCAAAATATAAATTAAGAGAGATAATTGTTGACGGTTGCAATGTTGCGATGAAGTATGATATTTTTATTCTAATCATATATATTACTGATGTATACATAATGAATTTTGATAAAATTAGCTAATTATATATATGATGTTCTCGGATTAAACCGCCAAACTTAAAATATGGATAACGTCCATCGGCTGAAAGGGTCTTCCATATGACTGTGAATGAAATTCCCATAGAATTAGATCTTCGGGTACTTGTTGATCGTACATAGATTTTGATCGAAATGTTGTAATATGATGGCTTCTTCTTTCATTTTGCAGTGATGCAAAAACTTCATCAGTAGAAGAGTTGCCGGGGAATCATATTAAATGATCTAGTTTTCTTCAGTCGTTGAAATATTAAAGAAAATACTGATTTATTCGGCAATCTTCTGTTCGAAAATCACGCGACGTATTCACGACGAGTAGCATTAGCATTTCCGTCACAAAACCCATATAAATATATCATATTGACATATTCACTATTATATATATTAGAATACATATGAGACATGATTATAAGTATATTCTATAAAAGCATTCAACAAACTAATAGCTACGAATTACGAGTTTTGCGAACAAAAGCCTATCAATGATTGTCGAACTTCAAAACAAAAACCATATTTCAATTATTCATTCCTATAGTTCTGTATATAACTTTATAAGTAAATATCTCTTGAAGCATTTGCGAGCATATATCCAGAGGAACATTTTTGTTTGTTTTGATTCTGAATTCATATTTTAAGTTTGGCGGTTTAACCTGGGAACACCCTGCATACTTATAAAATTTATAAAGATTGTAATTTTATGTATGTTATTTTGAATTTCTATTTGAGAATATGATAATCTTTACATTTTAGCCATACACAAGGTAAAGAGTTCTCAGAAAAAGGTATCCAAATAGTGGTAAATTATTTTAAAGAGAGAGGTCATGTTGTAAAAGTTTTCTTACCACAACACGTTCGTAAAAAGGAACATACATTTCTTGAGCAATTATACAAAGAGGGAACAGTCATTTTTACACCTAGCCGCAAAATTGGTGGTAGACAAATTACATCTTATGACGATCGGTACCACATTTTTATTATATAAATAGAAAAAATAGAACATATATTTTATTACATTCTTTAATACATAGTAGGAATTATTTCTTGTATAGTAAAATGTTTATATTTTTCATACATTATATAATATTAGATGCAGTATATAATGTACATATTCTTATTGTATATATGTATAAACGCATCTTTACAGAAGTATAAGTAATCATTAATTTCTCCGTATTAAATAAAATATTAGCAAAATGTCGGCAGATGCAACAGATTTGATCAGAAATATCTGCAGACTAACATCAATTGTGCATTCTGATCCTGTTCTATAAAACAGAACTTTAGGATCAATTGTGTATCTTGAAATGAGATAAAAATTATTAAATTGAGCGAATTTACTAAAATATTTACAATTTCATTAGTCAATCTAGTAAATTTGTTCTTTTTTGTGGTTTTCATCTCATTTTAAGATATACTATCGTTCACATAATCAGACAGTAGATTGGCGGCAAAATAAAGCAGTATCTGTGGACATGGGCATCTGATGATAAACTGTATAGTGTATAAATTAGTATAAATTGAACAATTTTTGGTAGTATAAATTGAACAAAAGTTGCAAATCCTGCTCGGTCTCTATTACTAATCTGCTAGCATATCAGCAGATTCATATTTCTGATAACAATTTGTTCACATCGTCAGATATTACAGACTCTGTGTAAAATATTTATGTGACGATGTTGCCTTTCTGCTATCAGAAATTGATAGCATACTCTGTTCAAAACTTGTTTTTTTTTGCAGACTTAGCTAATTGGGCGCGTATTTTACATAAAACGTATTAGTTTTATCTCAATTTTCTTGTTTACATCAAAATTATATAGTTATAATATAGACTTTGTACTCTATTTTTATTGTTTATTATATTCAATTAATTAGAAATATATGTCGTTCCCTTCAAAAGTGACACAACTCGGACAATTAAATTTCCCAGACAAGGAGACAATTTGCTTTTAATTTGACAGAATATTATTAGCTGATAATAATGGCAAAAAGAATATATTTTTAAAACATGATCAAATATCATTGTTTATCATTTTCATTTCACAATTATTAAAAAACCATCATTTTGAATTGTAATTTTAATGTTTTTTAAAACTCATTTTGAGTTATAATTTTTTGACGATTTGTAATAAAATTAAATTATCACTTTAATGATTGATAGGGTAATATTTACTTAATTCATTCGTAATAATAATTCGAAAATCACATTTTTTTAAATGTGTCACTTTTAAGATATACAAGGGACCGATATATATATATATATATATATATATATATATATATATTGCTCCTTTGTATATCTTAAAACAAAAATATATATATATTTTTTTAATTTAAGACGTAATAAAAATTTAAATCTTAACGCTTCCTCATTATTTCTTTTATCGCAGATTTATCTTGAAATATGCGACAACGTGTGGAGGGATAGTGATTTCCTCGGATCAATACAGAGATCTGTATAGAGAGAAACCGGAATGGCGCAATACTATTCTGAACCGTTTACTGATACCCACCTTTGTCGGGGATTACATCATGTTTCCGGAAGATCCGTTAGGCAAGTTTGGACCTAATCTCGAGAGATTTTTGCGACATTGATACAATTATGTTATTATAAAATATATTATTCTCAGGGAATGGAAGTAAAATTAGTTACTTGCAATGCTGTTACTTTCCGCTGTTACTCTTATAATAACAATTTGACAGTAACGAATTTTTACAGAAAAAGTAATTGA